GTAATCAGACCTTGGGAGGGGGAAGAATTTCAGAGCATATCTCATCCATTGCAGACTGAGTTTGTATAAGTTTTAATTCATTCAAAAGACCATGCTTTGAGACGATAGCTCCTAAGTGTCTTGCTAGTGCAGGGTTAGTTTGACAAGCACTTCCTTGCATCCAGTCATTCAGGCCACTTCAGATATAACTATCACTGGAACTGGCAACAGACCTTGGTACTGTCCATATGATACATATTTTGCAGACATGCAGAATAAAATGCTGTAGAATGATGGAGGCTTCCACTCCAACTTAAAGCAAGGTCAGTATTCCTGCAGACAGCCCCTAAAGAGCAATGTGTAAAACCATGAGAATGAAGCCAAAGATGCAATGGAGACCTCCTGGAAAGTCAGATGTGTCAGGAACTTGGAATGTGCAAAACAGAAAAGACACAGGCTGCTACCAAGTAAAGGCAACCAAAGAAAAGGCTATGTGGGCTGCAAACAGCAAGGCCCTAGAGGTAGTGCTGATCTGGAGAGTACATCACATCACTATTCCAGACATGGAACATGGGTTTGGTTTCCCCGCTGGGTCTGTCTTGCTTTGGTCCTAATCCCACCTTGCTCCTTTTCTATCTCCTCCTTTGGGAATGAAACTGTTTACTCTGTGCCATTGTACTTTCTAAGTATATAATTTTCCTTCTGATTTTACAAGGACTCAGCTGAGTTTGCTTCCATCTCAAATATTTTAAACTCGGACTTTTGAACAAATTAGAACTGTAAAGACTGTGGGAACTCTGGAGGTGAACTGTATAATTGTACTTTCAGATGGACATAAACCTTCTGAAGGCCAGGGATGAGATTTTAAGGTGTTTTATTTTAATCTCTCTATGATGAGTCGTGGGGGGGGTGGGGGGGCTCGCATGCCACAGCATGCATGTGAAGGTTTGAAACAGGGTCTATCTTTTGCTGTTCCCCCTTGGAATCTCATCTCTACCTACTATCTCAGCACAGGTACACATACGTGCTTCCACATCTGGCTTCACATGGCTTCTGGGGTTTGAATTCAGCTTCTCAGACTTGTGTGGCAAGCACTTTTCCCCACTGAGCCATCTTCCCAGTCCAAATGTTACGGTTCAAAGAGATATGTTTGGGTGTCAAGTTAACAAGAGGAGGACCTGTAAGGGTTAATCTGAATTGTCAACTTGATTGAACTGAGAAGAGCTAAGGGGATTAGTAAAACACACCTCTGAGGGCATGAGCCACTAGCATGGGTGTTTTCTGTGCTTCCTCAATGCAATGAAGTGAGCTGAGCTGGTCCACCACGCCCTCCCTGCCACAGTGGATGAAAACCTCAGAACTGTGAAACGAAGTATTTCCTTCGTTTTTCTCCTGTTTATCACAGATACACAATGTCTGAATAATACACAAGGGTTACGTGCACATTAAATTTTATTACTTTTTTCATAAGTATACTTATTTTTAATTATTTAACTAGAGTGAAAATATTTCCACTGACCTCTGAAGCTAATACAGAATACCTTCGAATGAGTTAGGGTTAACAAAACAGAAACTTCTCTTGAACCTACTGCTCATGTCTACACTTTCTCTTCATAATACTTGAAACTTGTATAAATATCTGTTTCTACAGGTTTCCGCTTCTATTATATGGTAAACTCAAAAGTGAAGAGATATTTCTCTTTTGTCTACTGCTGATTTTTTTTTTTTAAAGACAGGGTTTCTTTGTGTAGCCTTGGCTGTCCTAGAACTAGCTCTGTAGACCAGGCTGGCCTCAAACTCACAGAGATCCACCTGCCTCTTAGCTCCCAAGTGCTGGGATTAAGGCGTACAAAGTCACCACCCAGCCCTACTGTTGAATCTTTAACCCATGGCAGTATAACATGGGAAATATTTAGCAAGTATTTAAAAAACGGATGTATGCAGCTGCTACAATAACTTACCACCCAAAGATTCAGAGAGACTGCTTTGAATAATTTATTTATATGTATGATTGTTTTGCCAGCATGTATGTCTGTGCATCACCTGTGAGTCCGGTGCCCTTGGAGGTCAGAAGGCGGCACTGGATCCCCTGGAACTGAAACTATGAATGGTAGTGAGCCACCATGTGAGTGCTGGGAACTAAACGCAGGTCCTTTGCAAGAACAGCAAGTGCTCTTAAACACTGAGCCATCTTTCCAGCTCTCCAGCCTTGTATATGCTGAATTTATTAAATGCCATGGAAGTTCAATAGAAAGGAAGTCCTAATCCAGTTTACCATGTAATTCTGCATCCAGATAATTTTTAAATCAAACATCATTATCAGTATATATTATGCTTTTCTCTTGGCTTTTCTTTTTCTTACTTTTCTTCCCTTATCTCTGCCTTATTAGTCATTGAAAAATGTTAATAAAACTATTTTTAGATACTATCTAAGCTGAGGTACTTAGTGGACCAAGAAAAAAGGAACTGTATAAACGTACCCATAACATACAACATATGCAGAAAGCTGCAGACAAATATTAACAGAAATATAGTATTGAGATGATCATATAACTTAGATAAGGGAAACACAACAACCTTATTTTTTAAGGCAAGTATTTTGAAATAGGAGAAAGTAAAATTTAAAAAAGGGAGTGTAAAAAGATCAATGAGGGCTAAAGATGGCTCAGTGGTTGAAAGCACTGTCTGCTCTTCCAAAGGACCTGGGTTCAGTTCCTGTCACCCACATGGCAGCTCACAATCATCAGTAACTCAAGTTCCAGAGGATCTGGCACCTTCTTCGGGCTTCCACAGGCACCAAGCATGTATACAATTACATACATGCAGGCAAAACAAACATACACACAAATTTTTTTTAATTTAAAGATTAATGGTGTGGTTGTGCATGCTTGCAACCCTAGTTATTCTGCTGTCAAACACGGGCAGATCATAAGACCCAGGCCAGCCTGAGCAATCTAGGAAAACTCTCTTTTAAAATAAAATGAAAAGTTGGGGATTCAGCTCAGTTAGTAGAATGCTTGCCTAGAATGCATGAAGCCCTGAATTTGAACCCCAGCACAGCATAAAAATGGTAGTTCACACCTGCACTTGGGAGGCTGAGAAAGGAGGATTACCGGGCCTTGAAGAGCAGCCTGAACTACCCAGTCAGTCTGCCTCTGAACACTAAAGCACTATCATTCATAGATGTTACTTGATAAAGTTGTGTAGCTTACAAAGAACTTCCTGCTCAGCACCAAATGAAACTTCAATTCCTTGAGCAGAACTAACTCGGCTGTGTCATACTTACACACTTTGTGATGTAACACTGTGAAAAACCAATAGTTTATCACTGCACACACATTTAGGCAAAATACTCTACACACAAAAATAAATCTATGTAAAAAAATTTAAATAACCCAAGACTGTCACATTTTAATGCAGCTTTATGTGTAAATTACTCCCTAAAATTGTCTCAATTATACAAATTTCACTTCTAACATGCCATTTAAAGATAATATAAAGTCTTGCATAATTGAGTTCAATTTGTTCAGTCTTCCTGAGGTATTAAAATAGCCACTATTTAACAATAAAAATCTGAAGTCATATACAATACAGAATTCACTCAATGACATATATGTTCTCTAAGCCAGCTCCCTACTCATGATCAAATTGTTTCAACTTGAAATTATAAATAAAATTAGTGAAGTTATGTTTGAGCCTCAATGTCTTTTATGTGTCCAAACTGAAAGAGAAAAATCAGTTTCTAACATTCCATTATAAAGTTAAACTATTGGAGAAACTTTCCTTTGCAATCATGCTTCAAGCATACCTTTTGGTGTCTTCCTAAAAATTCATCATACAGGAAATATAAGCCTCTACATTAAAGATTTCTTTCATTATGTTTTAATTTTTAATAGACCACAATCCAAATCAGGATAGATTCTCCAAGATGTCATATTGTTATATCTGTCATCATTACAGCTTCTTTAAAGTGGCAAGACAAAAAGTATTCAACCCACTCAAATACTTTTAAAATTCTCATTTTTTTTAAATCCCTTAAATGAATGTTATTCTAGTCCATTTAGTTAAAAGAAAACAGATACATCTTTGCAATCTATCCTGGCCAGTCCATGTTTAATGTCAATGCAACTGTTAATGGCTCAAAACCAAACACTGTAACAAAACACAGCCGGAATCCTTCTTGTATTTGAGAGTCTGAGTACAAACATATGTCCATTCATAATATACTCTCTTACACAAATTCAATTCTACTAAATAACAACTTCCCATCATATACAGGTTAAAATAAAATTATCTTCTTTAATGTTCAAAGGACAGCTTCCAAAGCTAGAGGAGAGAAGCCTATCAACTTTAATCCAAAGCAAAGTACAACTCAATGTCATTTTTACCTCTAAGGCAGCGCCACAACTGAAACAAAATGAACTTCACCGGAAGATGAAGTATCCTAGCATCCCCCTGATTATTTACTTCTCTGACTCGACAGTACGTATACGTGGGCTCTTTTGTCCCTCTTTCGGCATCCCGGCGTATCAACAGCATCATCTTTGTCAAAGCAAATCCCTCTGGTCGTTACTTCAGTACTACAAAGTCCCGGCCTTCCTTGTTACCCCACAGAGAAGAGATTCCGTAGTCCCGTCCCTCTTCCATTACAGCGAGAAAAGCAAGGTAAAATGAAACGCTCATAATTTAAAAAAAAAAAAAAAAAATCCTCTCTGTTCGGTCCTGGTAATCAGAGGAGTCATGAGTACAAGTGATATATGGGTCACCCACAGAACAGATGAAGCAGCTTCGTGACCCTCCAAGTTCAGGGAAGGCACCCAAAGCCTCCGGGGAAATGGGGCAGAACCAGAACGGTCTCTGGGATGAGGACCAATTTGGGTCTGGCGCCAGCCCAGGGCGTGGGCAGAGACCCAGGGGTCTCGGGCAGCCTCTCCTCCACACCTCGGTAGGGTTGGGCGAGGGGTGCGGCGGGCGCAGAACGGCTACTTGGAGACGCCCTGGGGCTCGGGGGTGTGTCCTACCTGGGCCGCGGCGGACGCAGGATCTCCGGCGGAGGACTAGGGTTCAGCTCAGGGTCCGCACGGGCGGGAGTCACTGCTCAGCAGGCTGGCCCGCCGCCGCCTGCCCATCCCCCGCCGCCCACTGCGGCGGGACCCGAGCGCGGCTTAGACGGCCGGCGGTCCCCTCGGGTGCCGTCCGCGTCTAAAGGCGGCGGCGGCGGCTGCGGGTGTTGCTGCGGGCCTCCCCGGGCCGCTGCTCTCGTGCCAGCCCCTGCACCTCCTCCTGCCGCCGCCGCCGCCGCCTCGTCCCCACCGCTCCCATAGCCGCTGCGGCGACTACTGCAGCGCCCGCTGACCCGGCCCGACGTTACTCTCCCCCCCGCAAGCCGCACAGCCTAGCCCACCTGCCCTGCCAGCGCGCACCGCCCACCTCTCCGCCGCGGGTGCTGATTGGAGAGCACGTTCTCAGCCCGTGGCATCGGTTGGCTAGTCCCATTGCCTATCAGGGAGGGGGCGGAGAAATGGGCCGAGAGCGTCTCCGCCCCCCACCGGAGAATTGCCGCTATCTTCAGGTTTGCCTGAGAGGGCGAGTTACCGGGAAAGGAGCATCACAATGACAGTGCGCGTGCGCGCGGGGATTCTGGGACTTGTAGTTCCAGTCTTCGCCGCAACGGCCGGCCTGTCCTGAGACGAGACATAGGGCGCAGTGCTTCTGAGAGCGGGCATGAGTAGGTATTCTCCTAGTTGAGCGTGCTTGTGACCACAGAGTTGGGCCCTTTGGAAGAAAATTGGAAACACTTTGTCACTGAGGCAGTCTCGACGAGAATCGTGAGGCCGGGTCGTTGTTTAAGGTCTACTACCCTGCTCAGACCTAAAGCCGCCAGGATCTGAGGAATGGGCGCTGTCCCCAGAACCTTAACCTAAGCTCCTGGCCAGGGCCGGGAGACCGGTAGGTGTGAGGAGGAAAGAAGGGAGTTGCAAAGACGTCAGCCTGGAGAAGGGAGTACCCCTTCACAACCTACGAAAAAGCACAATGCACAACCCTTCGTGTGGACCAGTCTGGGACTCTAAGCTGGAGTTTGCAGGAGTGGCTCAAAGACATACAAAGACTAACCACGAAGGGTGGAGCATTGAGGCTGTGTGGGAGACATTTCTATTTCGTGTTGAATGGGTGCCAAGCTCTTTGGTGAAAAACAAAACAAAAAGCTAAGAGTAAGTCACCCTCCTATCTTTACTGGCCATTGGGTAGACATTAAAAATTAAGAGTTAACTTTACCAAGAATACAAAACGAATGTCAAAACCAAACGTCGGGTCTGTTTAAATACCGCATGTCCAATGCTCTTTCTCCTTAACAGTTACAATGATTACCACGTGTTCGCGATGGACAGAAAGGATGAGATGAATTTTAACGCTTTTAATTATCTTCTTAAGGGACAGAAATATTCTTCCTGTTGAGGAAATACCAGCCTCTTTATGTTCTTTTACGATCAGGAGACATCTTTACTGCTTGTCATGTTCAGATTCTTGGACAAAAAGCAGAACAAAATGTGCATTCAAAGGCAACTGATGATGAAGTCATCTTGTTCTATTCAACATAAAGAAGTTGCCAAATTGTTTTGTTTCTACTGCTGAAAGCAGAAAAATGCTTTTTTCCATTATTTATTATAAACGTGCTACCACACCGGGTAGAATTTTTAAAAAATTTATGTTTACAAATGGGTTTCATTGTGAGATCGTCATAGTTTTGTTTTTAAGATGGAATGTAGCCCCTGGGTACCCCAGGATAACCTCAGACTTCTGATCTTCCTGCCTCAGCCTTGGGCATGGTGGAATTACAGTTTCCAGTTAGCATCTTGACAACTAACTTGTAAAAGAAGTCAAGCCAGAATCAGCTAGGTAAGCCACTCCCCGAATTCAGCCCCACAAAAAGAACGTGATACAATAAATGTTAAAGGTCCAATCCCCAGCATCAAAAATAAATGTTTGCTATTGCCTTCAATACTGATTGGCTGTGTGGTGATGGATAACTAATAAAGGAAGATCTGGGAAAATAAAGATGAATGACTCAAGTCTGAGGGTGCCCTGGGATATGTAAAGGAACAAAACCTGGATTTGTGAGGAATCTTACAAACTATTCTAGAATAGTAAAATTCAGTTTTATGGACTGGAGAGATGGCTCAGTGGTTAAGAGCACTGACTGCTCTTCCAGAGGTCCTGAGTTCAATTCCCAGCAACCACATGGTGGCTCACAACCACCTGCAATTAGATCTGGTGCCCTCTTCTGGCCTGCAAAGACACATGCAGGCAGAACACTGTATACATAATAAATAAAATAAATCTTAAAAAAAAAAATTCAGTTTTATACTGGGAAGTCTCCGTACAAGATATAATGAACCTTACAATAGTTTTTTTCCCCTTTGTTCTAGCATGACATAAATAACACACTAAATGATCTTTTCTTCTCCTGTCCTTCCATGTGTGAGCTACTCTACCACATCGAGGTACTATTTTGCAAAGTTCCCCTGATCTCCACAGGAAATGACCTAGGTGGCTCTTTTATAGCATGTGGTTACCAGGACAGCAGTACAGAACGTTTTGTTTGTTTGTTGTACCCTAGCAGGACAAGCACACTACTCCAGAACCACATCCCCAGCCCCAACACCACAGTAGGGATCAGTGTGAAGATCAAGGATAGGAGATTCTTGCCATTCTTTCCTCCTTTTTCTTTAAAAATTTCCCCTGGGCTAGAGGTGAAGAATACGTTGATTTCAGTCCCCTGCGACTGTGATGGTTAATATCGGTTGTCAACTTGACAGGGTCTAGAATCACCAGGGGCAAACTCTTTGCTCGTCTATGAGGGATTATCTAGGTTAGGTTAGTTGAGAAATTCAGTTATCCCTGAATTCAGGCAGCACTGTGGGGAGCAGAGGAAGGGTGAGTCAATGTGTACTGTTGACATGGGCGTGGTCATGGCAAGGACCCTAAACCTCAGACACATGAGAATGGCAAAGCCCGCGGCCCCCCCCCCCCCCGACCTTCCACCCCCAGTGCAGATGCTGACAGTGTGTGTGCAGAAAAGTAAGGTCAGAAATCGAGTTAAACAGCAGCATTCATCTCTTTCTGCTTCCCTGACTACAGATACACGGTGACCAGACTTCTCAAGCTCCACAGCTTGTCCCTCCACAAAGGACTGGACCTTCAAACTATGAACCAAAATAAACCTTTCCTTACACTGCTTCTGTCAGGGAGTTTGTCAACTCGGCAAGAGAAGTAACTGATGCAGCACAGAAAAGCAAAAACTGAGTCTCCGGGGGCTAAACACGGAGCTCTCTGGTAGAACACCGGGTTATCATGGACAACGTTTTGAGTTCAATCCTGGGGTCAAAAAAGAGCAAAAATAGCCGGGCGGTGGTGGCGCACGCCTTTAATCCCAGCACTCGGGAGGCAGAGCCAGGCGGATCTCTGTGAGTTCGAGGCCAGCCTGGTCTCCAAAGCGAGTACCAGGAAAGGCGCAAAGCTACACAGAGAAACCCTGTCTCGAAAAACCAAAAAAAAAAAAAAAAAAAAAAAAAAAAAAAAAAAAAAAAAGAGCAAAAATAAAGCCTCTCAGCCTCAGAATTGCACACTCATAAGTGTGCACTAATTCGATCTCATTACAGCTGTCAAGCTGTTTTTCAAACTGAATACACAGTGCTCTGAAACATGAAACTCAGTAGCGGAGTGTACAAATGCTTCTGCAAACCACCAAACAAGCTTTGCCTTTCAATTTTTCATCGAACTAGTTTCTGTTTAAACATTACTCAATCCACAAGATCTCTATAAACAAATTTCATAGGATGGACTACTTTGCTAGGTACTGGAAAAACAAATACAAAACTTAGTTCAGAGTTTTGCAGTGTACTTAGTAAATATGCAAATCCTATAGAACACAGTGTAGTCGCTGCTGCTTTGGGGATGTGTAGCATATTTAGACTGTAACAGGAGTCACTAAACAGTACAGTGAGTGAGACGCTTGTCTGAGAGGGTCTGCTGCACTGTTTTTAACAGAATTGCATTCACATCAATTCTATGAACCACCCCAAATACTTGTGTTCTGATGTCATTTTTGTTAATTTTTGAAAGTTCATCATTTAGTGGTGATAAGCTTTATTTCAAAAATGTAAAAATCCAAATAAAAAGAATAAGGCAAGGGAAAAATGTTGGATAGCTAGATAAAATAACCGTAATTTGGGGGATTCCAATTTATTGAATATCAATTTGGGTTTGATGGCGATTAAAATCAGCTATAATATAAAGGAGTATTGAGACTGACAAAAAAGTAAAGTTAAAATAAATACATTTATAAAGTAATTTTAGGGTGTGATCAGTGATGGACCATTTGACTACAAGCTTATAGGCCCTGGGTTTGACCCCTAGCACAGCCAAGGAAAGGAGGAGACAACTCTGTTCTAATTAGAGTTATTTCTTTTTTTTCTTTTTTTTTTTTTTTTTTGGTTTTTCGAGACAGGGTTTCTCTGTGTAGCTTTGCACCTTTCCTGGAACTCACTCTGTAGCCTAGGCTGGCCCTGAACTCACAGAGATCCACCTGCCTCTGCCTCCCAAGTGCTGGGATTAAAGGCATGCGCCACCACCGCCTGGCTAGAGTTATTTCTTAACCTGGTGCCATTTTTCCTTAACTTTCATGAGACTCAGATTAATGAGGTCATTAAAGTTAACAATTAAAAAGTTGTCCCCACTCCAACAGGCAGTGGAGGTGCACGCCTTTAATCCCAGCAGTCGGAAGGCAGAGGCAGATGGATCTCTGAGAGTTCGAGGCCAGCCTGGTCTACAGAGTGAGATCCAGAAAAGGCTCCAAAGCTACAAAGAGAAACCCTGTCTCAAAAAAGTTTCTTTTCATAAAGTCCTAGGGATTGAACCTAGAACTACACACGTAATAGGCAAGTGTTTTATCACTGAGCTGTAGCCCCAGTGCAACAGTTAAGGTTTTTAGAAGAATGAATTCTACATTTGCTCAGTTTCTTTTACTTGGGTACTGGAAATTGAATGCTCAAAGAGTTTTGTTTGGTTTTGGTCCCTGTATTGGCAACAGGAAAGTCATCCAATAATACATCATTGTATCCCTGTAGGTTTGGTTGGTTCATTGGTTTGTTTTGTGTTGCTGTTTTCTTTGTTGTTGTTGTTCTTTGTTGTTTTTTGTTTTTGAGACTGAGTCCCACCACCACCACAGGTTAACCTCAAACATCCCCATCTTACTCCTGCCTCCATTTCCCCAGTGCTGGGATGACCGGCTTGTGCCCACTGTGCCAGGCTTCATGCTCACAGTTTTAAAGAGAAATGGTGAGATGGTGCTGTGGTTCCTGGTGACATGTGCCTTTCCACAGCCAA